CCAGAGATCGCTTTGCAAGATCAAAAACAAATAACTAAACAAGTTAAAGAGAAGACGGATTGCAGTTTTGCTAAGAGAAATACAAAGTAATCAATTCTGAGATTTATTAGAAGACATTTTGTCTAATTTATGGAGATGAATGGATAAGACTTGGTGACTTAGTGTTCTGGATACAGACTTAACGCATCCAGAATAAAAAATTCAGCTCTTGATAGTTTCATTATTTATTAAAAAAGAAGAAGAAGAAGAAGATACATAATAAATACAAATACATTTCTAGAAATTTAAATAAAAAAATAACTTATTCTTTACTTTATTCACAATTATGAGCAAAGTATCAAAGATTTCATTTAAAATTTTAATTTTAATTGAAGGAGTATTAAAAAAAACATATATATTTCCTTAAAATGATATTACTTCAAACTATAAATTTAATATTTTTAAAGTTTTATTTTTTAAATTTACAAATTAAAGTTAAGAAAAATTGGGTGTAATGGACCGCTTAAGCGTTGAAAATTAAAGTTTTTTTCATACTCATCCGCACTTTTTAACTTCAAAACTTGAAGATAAGTCCATAGAAAATACTATAAAATAGCATAAATTTTTACAGCATTTATACCAAGATCAGTTAATAATCCATAGTAATATTATATATATTGGAAAGGATTTTTTTTTTTGTTAATTATGGATATATATACTATCTCTGTATTGTTTTCAAGAGATAATGTAATTCAGGATGCTATTAGGTTATCACGCACAGTGGAGTGTTACAGAATCATGTCTTATCTTACAAGCTCCACTTGCGTGAAGTAATTCCATGCAAGGATTGAAGATGTCAGAGAATTTCATGAGATCGGTAACAAACTATGCTTGGTAATTCTTTTATGTGCAGGTATTTTATTTATTTATTTTTTTTAACGTAATCCCAAGCATTATTTTATAGAAATGAGATTTAGCTATTGTATTATTTTTCGAATATTTATTTCTTAGCTTTTGAATATTCGATAAAAGACGATGATTAGGATGAATGAGAGACTAACGAACGTTTGAAGGACGTCTTGATGAAACTCAGCAGGACCAGGGGATAGATTCAGCAATAGGGTGATCTGTAATATTCGCTCGTATATAAAAATTATACTGTTGTACACGTACTGAATGCTACTAATTGGTAAAATTGTCATAAAATTCTTTAAATTTCGTGGAAAAAATTTCAAAAATTCGCTGAAATTTTACTAAACGCTAATAGAATTTCACTGCAGTAGAATATATAATTAATAATTTATTTTATGAATAAAATATACGCGCGATGTTTCAATACATAATTTATTATTTAAAATCCTTTAAATACGATTAAATTTTAAAAATATTCGTAAAATGAAAGTATAAAAATTTAAAATTCAATTAATGAAAGCAATCATCAAAATGCTTATTAAATATATTAAGAGTATAGAACTTATTCAATAGTAATTATATTTAAGTATTTAAAATACAGTACATATTTTTAATTACGTTAATAACTCGATATTAAAGAATAAGAGTTTGGATATTTTCGAAATTTCGACTAAATTCTTCCATTGTTATACAATTTATCTCGAACAAAAGTAAGATATTAATCCATTTTAATTAAAAATTATTTAAATTTTATTGTTGTAAAGTAACGTATTTAATTTAATAATTATTTTCGAATATATTATTTGTGATAAAAAGTTTCGCAGTGATGTCAGACAGACAGACAGAGAACCTGAAATATTTATCAGGTAGGTAAAGTGACATTATGGCAATCTATGTGACAAAAACAGAAGACAAGACAAGAAAAAGCAATTAAAGTGCATTATTTATCAAAAAGAAAAATCTCTAACGAGTTAAATTTAAAAAAAGTATACTTTACAAACTTGATACATTATGCTAAATGATAGACATTCGGTAATTAATTTTTATTCTTTAAAATAATAATAATAAAAAAAAAACATTAATTTATAATTATAATCTTATATCAACCGTGACACGTGAAGTTATGAATATAAACGAGCTCCATCCCATGTCGTATCATTCAAAAATGATTTACTCGATTTTAATAAAATAGATTATGAATATTATGCTTTGATTATCTCTTACCTTAATATAAAATTCACGTTGATTATTATTATTATTATTATTATTCAAGATTTCTTTCATTACCTTTCATCACGTTCTTTCATTTCTCTTTATCAAGTTCTTACGCTCTTCATTAACTTCTGCATTGTTATTCATTAATTTTGGTTCCTTACACTTATTAAATTCTTTCTGTTTTATTTATCGGATTCTTGTCTCTCTCAATATTAATTTCTATTATTATAGTTAAGTTATATCCAACTTCTTTTACGTGATATCGAGTATTTGATACACGTGACGGGTGAAGCTACAGTTTAGGGCCTCGTTCTATTCTCAAAAATACTATACACATATTACACATTATTATTTGGTACAGGAAGGAGCTTGGAGCAACAAGTCTATATCCGGATATAACGTTATAACGAAGATATACTCTTATTATACTCCCAATAATAGAGAGTAGATCTATATGATAAGCATGATGACATTAAAATGTGATATAAATTAAAATGTGCTTATCGTGATATAAATATGCTTAGTATTTATCTTACAATAGAATATTTGATACTCTAGTGTTTTGATTTTTGTAAAATTATTGTGAAATGCAAATTTTCGTCCTTCCTAATTAAATAAATTCGTCCCGTCCTTTTTCTATTGTAAATAAGATAAATAAATTATTACTTTTTACAATAAAAATTGAATTAATATTCAATTTTTATTGTAAAAAGTAATAATTTATTTATCTTATTTACAATAGGAAATGTCTATGATAATAGGTCTCTTTCTCCACATTAACAATAACCCCAAGCAAATAAACATAAATATACATAAAATCTGCATTTCACGAGCATTTTACAAGGACTAAAACATTAAAAATTCTATTATTCTTTTAGAAATAAACATTAAAGGTGTTTATATTATCATCACAGCAGTGTTAATATTAGAAACAAGTTCTCTACTTAATAGATTATTGTAGTTAACATGAAGAGAAAAGGACAAATTAATACCCATTTCTACTTCTTAGTTGTGTTTTCTAAACATGTTTTGGTAAATCATGTGTATTCCCCTTTCCTTAATTATCCAAACTAGTGAAACCACGGTCTCTTAACTCAATTACATAATACTAAATTACTGAATGTTACTAATAGGGTAATTATCGTGTGTTCTCTGCCTAGTTTCTGGCAGTATTTCATATGCTTCAACCTAACAATACTTTTGAGATATTTAGCTTCCTTTTCTATATAATTTTTCACTTAGTTTCCTTTATAAGTAGCAGAATTAAATTATGCTAAATCAATTTATAAATCGGGATAAACAATGGATAAAAAAAAATAAAATGAAATAAATTTGCCTTATTTTAGCAAAAATTATTTCAGCTTGAATATGAAAAATGAGAAAAGTAATCTTCTCCGAGCAATTAAGATGTTATAAAATTTATTAACTACACTCTAAACGATGTTTTACTGCATGGATGAAGAGAATTTAGAAAGAAAATAATAATAAATATATTCTTTGCATGTATATCTAGCAAGGGAAAAAAAATCATTCGGGTTTTTTGTAGCAGTAGCCACAAAACACCGAGAGTTAAGGGGGGACGTTGCATTTTCGCCAAAACGTATAAATGTCATCTGTGTTCATTAAAGCGGCTCGATCTTCCTTTGTCCAACAATTCTGGAAGGTTTCCAAGTATGCCCCGTTGTGGTTTATTGTTCGTTGATAGAGGCACTCTCGATCGAAGGTGCAGTTCAGCCATCTTGGCAGTTGCCTGATGGTTGAATTGAACCGGTGGATGTCAATACACAGCTGAAAATGAATTTCTCCTGTGGATTTCTTTATGAAAGAATAGAAATACAGGGGGGAGAAACGTACTCACTTTTAGAAATTTTATACAAAGATATTTTTGGGGTAAAAGTTTTGATAAAGTTTTAATAAGTAGCCTATAGATTTATCATTTAAAAAAAAAAAAAATGTTTTTAACTTTACTGCTTTGGTTAACCAAATAAGGAATTCTTTGTTTTTCGTGACCTGTTTGAAGCATCTGGAAGCACTCACAGATATACAAGAGGATTTTAAAAAAAGTTATTGATGTTGTATGGAAGTCGTTGCAATGTTGCTTTTACTACTGAAGCAATTTTATTTTCGTTGCTGTTGCTAAAATGAAAATGGATCTGTTTATTTTTGCCCTTTTTTAAAGTCTAGATATTTGTTCAAGTCGATTGTATAAGAAATTTTTCACTTACAATAAGATTATTGTCGATTTACTTACTACTCACAATTTGATTTTTCTAACTTCAGCCTTCTTATCCACGCGATCTTTCCTCTCGTACAAGTTTTTCTACATCATATTTTTAATACTTATAATACAAAATATTTTATTACAATAATTCTCCTTCCCTAATCTGCGAATTACAGAAAATTTACTACATTGTTTCCCGCATGTAAGCTACTTTTGAACGTATATATACATAAAAAGAACAGATAGAAGTCCTAACAGTTTGTTATATAGATAAAGACCCGGTGTAGAAAGCTTTAAACTTTTAGGAGACCAAAAATTTTTTGAAAATCTGACATATTTTACGTCTTTATTTGAAAAATACTAGAAAAGAAGTAGGCCTACATACTGCGATGTATACAGAATGTTATATTCTAGTGCCTTTATAACAAGCACTCAATCTTGTTATTTTATAAAAATAACATCAAATCTTGTCGAGAAAAACAAGAGATAATCAATGATATGTGAAACATCATTAATTTTTGTCAAACGTTCATCACAAAATTGATTGCGCCAACTTCCTCAGAAAAAAAATAATAATAATAAATAAATAAATAAAAATGTAATAAAAAATGATTATTTTTAAAAAAAATTGAATTTTTTTAAAGTTCTATAAGAAATTTAGAGATATACTTACTTGTTCTTTAACGGATAAATGGACATCGGACCCAGTTTGGTCGTGGGAATCGCCAAGATAACGGCTTAAGTTTCCTTCTTGATCGTCTTGTTGGCCTGATGGCATTTTGATTGATAAAAGTGAATTTCGAATAGTTCAATCGAGCCTGAAATGAAACGAATTATATTAAAAATTGAATTAAGCATTTATCATTGAACATAATACAAATCTCAGATAACTAAATTATCTCTAATAAATCGTATATAGTTAACGAGTTTGGCGATTTTAAGCTGAACACACACTTTTGACGGAAGGGAATTTTCTTTTTTCTTTTTCTTATTTTGTAGTTTCCGATCGTATATTATTATTTATTATTTAATATTTAAGCATATAATTTTAGGAAACTATTTATTAATGTTCGAAAGATAACACTGGAGAGAATTGATGCATTTAAATCTTAATTGCTTAACATTATTAATGCATAGAAAGATTGTTAATTAGATAGCGAATTCGTTCTAATGAAAACGCGATATACTCATTTTAGTTACCATTCCGTTATTACCACGTCTCGATTGAACTAATACAAGGAAAAAGGATGACAATAAGCAAATTAAATTTCTAATTATAAATATATAAACTATTAAAGAGAATTAATTAATTGGATTTTAATAAAGCGATGAGTTTAATTAGAATTATTCCGATTAGAAATTGCTGATAAACATTAAGTAGTTAAATTCGAAAGATTTTATATACTGGTAATATAAATATTTGAAGATATGATGGAGCCTGTAGATGTTTTTGTTGCTTTCATCGCACATAAAACGATGTTAGTGATACGAAAGCGATATTTTTGCCACTGGCAAAACTGATTTCAAAATCTATAAAGCAATGGCATATTGGCGTAAATTCCTGCTGTATCTAAGGTTTTTTTTATCTCTTTTTTTATCTAATATTCTCTATGTAATAATAATGTAACGATATGATAACTGATAACACTTTGTAAGCCTTGTTTTTCCTTTCAGAGTAGTTAAAAAAAAAATGTATAAACTTACATTCAAAACCGGCAAACCGTGTAGTAAATATCCATTTTAACAACTTTAAATATGTTTAATTATTCTATAAACTTAATAATATATATTTTACACAATAAATTATGTATATAAGAATTTCCTTTAAAGATAAAAACGCAGTAGCAATTGATACAAAACTATTATCTTCTGATCTTTTTAAAGTAATAAGAAAAATACTCTTGGAAGGATCGAAAAGAACTTCATTGATAGACATGCCAATCTATTAAGAGCTTTCCTATTCGAGACGGTAGAAAAAAAAAGGTTAAACCACTTTAGGATTAATGGAAAATTGTATTCGATTATGAAAATTCAATTAAGTTAGAATTTTGAGGAAAGAAGCAACCTCTTATCTAAGAAGCACTCTAGTTAAAATTTTATTTATCGGAGACAAAGTAGTTCACTTTTTAAGCCACAAAAACCTATCTTTAGGCTGCAGGATAAAATGGAAACATTTATTAGAGATTTGTAATGCATATTTTAAATATTTATTATATAAAAAATTACTTGTTAACCTTGATTCCTTATTCCTTTCGTAGACTAAATGATGAACAATACAACTAATTACACCTCACATGAGAGATAATCAACGTAAAGAAGTGACAAATTCCTCACATTTTATTCTAATAAACTATAATCAATTAAGTTATGTGAAGTTAGTAAGAATGTTTCTATTTAATATCTGTGCTGCTCTGTATACAAATTTATAAATCCTTTCCAATGTTTAAACAAGCACTCAACGGTAGAAAACTGTCTTAATTAATAATTCATAACGCTTACTTGTACGTAAATATTATATAAAAGTAAATAAAATATAATATATTTAAAGTTGACAGAAACTTTTTCGGTGTTCTTGTGTATTATGACGTATAAAAAAAAGTATATTTGTTCGATAAATATACAGAAAAGTATGTGAAATAAAATAAATTGAAACGTACTTGACACTAGTTTTGAGAATTTAAAATTAAAAATATATATATATTTGTAAACTGACTTTCAAAAATATAAAGAATAGTTTCTTCCTAGATGATAAATCATTTCTGTTCTTCCTGATAACAAGTCCATTCTTGGTTAGCTGTTATTTTCCTAGCTATCAATTATCGAATGATTCAATTTAAATGTGACACTTACAGGTGATGTTGCATTAATAGCTACTAATAGACTCGCTTGGTATGCATTGCTTTGCACGATTAGGGGTCCTGTTTGGCACGCCTACAGATGTCAGTACGTTTAGTTACACTGATAAGGTGAATTGCTCTACCTGTCACTTTAATTAAACTACTTTTACTTGATTTTTACCTCTTCGTTTATTAAATGTAGTGAAATATTCTTATATTTATGTATTTCTTAATCGAAACTTAAGAGTTTTAGTTTCTACTACAATAATCTTTTATGTTTTCAGTAGCGGAATCAAAGAGGGATTCGGAGAGACTCGGATCCTACTTACCTTTGTAAATAAATAAAGAAAGAAAATGTACAAGATATAATGTATTTTCATCCACAGTACTCCTACATCCACTATGGTACAGGAGTACCATAGCGGATTAGCAGCTGTGGTACCCCTGTGCCATATGGTATAGGTTTGTAGATTCTACCTAATATTTATTCTAGTTTATGCTATTGATTGTTGCGTGAATCTTTGATAAAACAAGTAGTAATTCTTATAAAAATGAAATGGCACCAGGAAAGAACATACAAATGGGATTTATAAAAGGTCGATTTAAATGTAAACAGTATTAAAATTATCAATACAATAATGTATAAATAAGAATTGCTAGAAGTTGAAAGGTAGAAAATGAGATAGATAGGAAGAATATTTGGTTTATCATCGTCGAATATTGCTTCTATTTAGTTTTCTTTTCTGCCCGAAAATCCATTAAACATGAGGTTTGTTGTTAAAGGAGCGAGGTGAATAGAACAGTAGAACGAAATGAAATTCCTTCAGTTGGAATGAATGCTGGTGACAAAGATGGTATATGCATTTATTTGATGTAAAAACCCACTAAAATTGATTAATGCTCACATTAACCAAAACTCTAACTCGTAATCTTTAACTCCGATTTTTCCGAGTCATAAATTATAGAAATGTACATGAAAGCCGAGTCGATATTTTAGTTATTCTAATTTACACTCAATTACAGCCACTAAAAACGATTTACCCGCAGGATATTGTCAAATAAAACACAAAACTGTTTTAATATTTAGTATTTTAATTTGAATAAGAGAGATGTCTTCGGTAATGATTAAAACCAATTATAATTAAATCATATCACCGATGATAGCGCCTCAAGCACCAATTTATAATACTAATAGCATTAAAATAAATTTTATTCCTGTCGAGGATTATTAATATTATATCATTTACTCAAGAGAATAATGGAAAATTTTCTAGAAAAATGATGTTTTTACTTTAATTTTATTGTAAAGATAAAAATTGATTTAATTTAATCCTCGATGTAAGAGCCTCTAGCATCGAATTACGGTACTAAATCTTTCGATATTCAAATGCCAAGTTTGTGAGGATATACAATGGTTCTCTTCTTAGAATTCTTAAGATCATTAATTAATAGAGTTAATTAGGCTTTTCTTGCAACTATGGCCATTAATTACTCGAGGGTGAACGAGTTTCAAATATTTGCAATTGTTCGAGCCGGTAACGAATGATGGAGAAAACTTTTGACATCATATCCCGCATTTAATCAATACAGATTTATAGTAGTTAAAAACTGTTGCGGGCCTTGTTAAATAATCGTTTATTCCTTTATAGTCTGGCAGTAAATTTTATCTCGATTAACGCTTCATTCCAATCTGTCAGGATAACGTTACGTCAATCTTACGTTATCCGTGACGTCACGGACGAGTTTTCGTTCGTCGATGACGTTGCTTTCGTCATCGATGACATATTTCCTCTTATCCATAACAATAATAAACCGCATGGCTTAAATGAAAAATTCATCCAATCGTCATTTTTGTGGAGAATTTTCGAAAAATAACCGAATTATTTTATTTATGAAATTAATTCTGTGTAATTAGATATTTTTCTGTCTCCTATTAAAATCGGATTACGTAGGAAAATCGATTTCACGTGTAGTTAAATCACCATTTTGCACTGCGCTTTTGCTTAACACGTTATAAATAACTCTTCCATGTTAGAATTCTTTCCTATAACCAACGCACAGATTATTTTCTTAGAAACACAAAAATATATTAGTAAAAAAAGCTTAAATTTCTATAATTACCGAAACACCGAAACTAAGTTCATTAAGGCTTGAATTTTAACTTAAAACTTACACTAATAACTAACGACGTATCATTCATTATTTAATTACATTTAACTTAAGTTAATAAGTATTTTATATGCTAATATGATTCATTATACACACAACTTTAGCTTTGCACAGACACAGAAAAGAAGGCAAATGAAAATATTAGAAGAAAATAATAAAGCTGCTGAACAGAATCATAGTTGATCAATAGTAGTTAAGAGATAACACTTAACCACTATTGACCAGGAACAATACATTTGTAAGGGATTAAAGATAACATGTTACTATCAACTAGAAACTACACAGTTTCAGTGAAGTTAAAGATAACATGACCAGAAACTATATATATATTTGCCAAGGCTTAAAATAATTCTTAACCACTTCTACTAGTTATTTACTGTTTAAATTCTTAACTGTAAGAGATAACACTTTATCGTGGTTACTAACTATATATTTAGAGAGGGATTTAAACATAACTCTTGACTAGAAAACAATACATTTTGTAAGGACAGTTAACACATTACTACTGTAGAGTAAGGAACATATGGTTTTAAAATGTTAAAGATAACAATTTTCTATAAATAACAAGAAACAACACTATATATTTGCAAAGATTTAAAGTTTAAAACTATTTTACTAGAGACTTCAAATAAATTTATATTGATAGAAGCTATACATTTTGCAAGATCTTAAAAATAATTTTTAGATGCATTTACTATTATTTACTGTTTAAATTCTTAACTGTTAAAAGGAAACCATTTATCAACTGACTGCATCCATTTAAAATAGTTTAAAGATATTTAATTAGAAACAATGTCTTTTGTAAAGATTTA